AGGGTGCAGGTTGCTATACAGCATGTAAGTGGTTTCAATGGGAGGAGCGACCAGACTCCCAAAGGAAATCATTTCCATTCCCATGGCTGCTGACTGGAATCACCTACAGCCCACAGCGAGGGAGAGCTCACAGAACTCCCAGGCACACTGACAGACGCCACTCCACAGACACACACACACACACACACACACACACCCCTTCCTGCCCCAGGGCCTGCGGAATGGTGAGGAGAGAGGAGCAGGCACACAGCCAGGTGACCAGCTGAGGACAGAGAAGGTGCAGGCGAGGGCCTATGGGGAACAGCCTGAAGGAGAAAGGCCGGAGTGGGAGGGGTCAGGAAGTCAGGGGTCCGCAGGGCAGAAGGGCCAGGTGACCTGAACAGAGGAGCCTGAGGGTCTTGTCATGGAGCTGAGGTGCCGCCAGCCAGAGGACTGCAGGTGCCACAGGGCGGAAGCCTGGGAGGGGGAGGGGGGTGGAAGAGGAGGTGAGATGGCAGGAGAGCTGAGAGAAGGGCAGCAGGGTGGGCGGGCTGCTGGGTAGGGTCCAGGCACCATGCTGAGGTCACCTGTGGGGGGGGTACCTCAGCGCCTGCAGTGAGAGCAGTGGTGGGCTTGGGCTCCTGGTCGGTGCAGGGGGCTTAGGGTAGAAGCTGGGGGTGGGTTGGGGGTGGGATGGGGTGGAGGGTGGAGGGCGAGATGAAGGGAATGCTGGGATTGAGCAGGAGGGGAAAGGGAGCTGAGGCTGGCGTGGAGAAGTGTTTTTTAAATCTCACTGTTAAATGAGTGTGTCGGGCCACCCCCCTAAATGCCGCATAAACCCCTGCTTAACCTGCCCTCCCCGTCTAAACGCCCTCTAAATGCAGTAACCAGCCGGCCACTGAGGCCTCCCACCCCGACTTAAACCTGCTAAATGCCCCTCCCACCCGCTGCCCCTCTCTGGGATCGGAGGGAAGAGGGCCACAGCTTGAGCGCAGATAAACCTGTTTAACCTCTGACCTTTGACCTCCAGCTGCCTTTTCTTTCATCCCCTTTCCTTTTCTTCTTTGTCCTTCAGTTTCTTTGGGTCGCTCCTGCCCGCAGGGTGGGCTGGCTCTGGATGGGAGCCTGGGGAGGGGCGGGAGGCTGGGGCCCATTTCTCCTCCCCCTGCCCGGGGGATGTGGCCGCTTCACTGAGTCTCTTGAGAAATGCGTGATTACTTTTCTGACGCCTTTGGACTTCGCTGCCTGAGAAACCTACTGTCTTTCTAAACTTTTCCAAGGAAACTTTGATAACGAGCGCCTGGCGATTGCTAGACAGAGAATCCCCTACCGGCTTGGTCGAGTAGTAGATGAGTGGCTGCTCGACAAAGGTAATTAACCAGAATTAATTAATTAATTAATTAATTAACTTTAAAAACACTATCTTAAAGGTGCAGAGCTCTCTCTTCCCCATCCGAGCCTTCCCCCTCACCCACCCTGAGTGAAGGGACACTTGTCCCCCCGGGTGGGTGCCCCCTTCTCTCTGCAGTCAAGGGTCTGCCCGGGGAGTGCTGGTTTGGCCAGGGGCGGGGATTCTCCTCCAAGAGCGCTTGTCTGTCTAGGCCTGGGCTGCGACTTGGCTACCTGTGACGCCTGACCCCCCGGGAAAGCAGGCTGGAGTGCAGGGGAGGGAGGTCAGCGCAGGCGCTCCGAGGGCCGCTGAGGGCCGCCGAGGGCCACCGTGAGCGAGGAGCAGGAAGGCTTTGGGGAGCAGGAAGGGCTGATCCTAGGACCCAAAGGAGGATAGGAAGACTGCCCCAGGGTCATCTGAGGAGGAAAGGAAAGTGGGGGCCTCAGGTCCTACTGGAAAAGCCCCCCAAGAAAGTGGCAGTGGGCCCCTCTCTGCAGTGGACCCGCCGTGGTCCAGAAGGGCCCTCAGAGGTAGTGGAGTTGTGGGGAGAGGAGGGCAGAGGGGCAGGGGGAGCCGTCCCACGGGCATCCGCACCAGGGGCGTCCGCGTGGAGGCTGCTTTGTCACCGAGGGAAGTTGGGGCCAAGCCATCCCATTCCCTTTGGAGGGGGGGCGAGCTCTGTACCTCTAAGGCTAAACTCTAGGGGGGAGCATAACTGTTAAACCTCCATCTAACCAGCTGATAACTGTGCTTTTAAATGTCACTGGGGCCTTCCCCAACTAAACCCCAAATGCCACTTCCAGCCCCCACGCAGCCCGCGGGGACTAAACATGCTGATAACCAGACGCCATAAATCCGAAGCAGGACAAAAAGTTAAAGGGACTGTCGCAGGCATCGCTAAAACCTGCAGCCCCAGCCGCACTGACCCTCCAGCGGGGCGAGCTTTAACCCTTTGAGGAGTTCACGGCAGGTGGGGCCGAGGGGCCACGTTTGCTAACCTAGTAGCTTCCTCTCCGTTACCACCTCCCTCTCCCGGAATTAGAGGCTAAGGGAGCAGCTTGGGCTGAGGCTGGGACAACTTGTGACCCCAAGGGGTCGGGAGAGCAGGATGGGCCAGGGTGGGGGAGGGGACCCCTGGTCCAGGTGGGGAAGAGCTGGCGATGGGTGTCTCCCCAGCTGTGGAAGGAGGCGCTCCCCTTTGTGTGGCCTTGGGGGAGAGGGTCAAGACTTGCCCTCCCGAGCCTCAGCTCCCTCCCGGGGA